AACCAACTCCAGGTGGGCGAGGTTTTTTTCTTACGGGTTTGGTGGGTGTCGGCGAGGTTCGGGGGGGATTTATGGGGGTCGTTTTCGCGGCAGTCGGAGTTGAAGGGGGTGGAGAGGAGCAGGGAGAAGTTGGAGATGGAGCTCTTGTACAGCAGGGCTACGGTGAACGGGGATCTCGGCTCCGACGGCGAGGAACTCCCCGAGGATTCCATCTACAAGGTGAAGTTGCACCCGGCATCGGAGGGGAATCACCTTGGGGTCATGAATGAAATAAGTAATGAATGAAATAAATTATGAATGAATGCAGGCGAGATACGAACGGGCTCGCCGGGAACTGGAGTGGATGCGGGGACGGCTGGAGCAGAAGCATCAGGAGGAGGTGGAGGGATTGGTGGGACTCAAGAAGCAGGTGGAGAAGAAGCTCCAGGATGCCTACGAGGAGGTGGAGGAGCAGCGGGGGGTGGTGAGCCAGTGGAAGAGGAAGGCCGCGCGATTCCAGGCGGAACTGGCGGACCTCAGGCATCTCCTCGAGGAGCAGACGGCTCGGAATAATCTCCTGGAGAAGAAGCATCGAAAGTACGTTCCGTCTCTCGATCTCGATCCGCGAGGAGCGCGTGATGAATGGGGACGATGGAGGACATGTGCGTCCGCGGGCACGGGGCCATCTGCCGCGCCGCGATGACGGGGCAGGGTCCCCGATTCACCTGCTAGCGTCGAAGTGACGAAGCTCTCTCCGTCCGTCCCCGATGTAGATTCGATGGTGAGTTGGCGCTGGCGGTGGAGGAGGGGAAGGCGGAGCGGCGGGAGAAGGAGCGGATTCAGCGGGAGAAGGATCTCCTCACCGCGGAGAAATTCGCCTTCGAACAACAGCTCAACGTGAGTCCCGTTTTCTCGTCGATGACCCGCTTTTCGGAAGGGGGAGCGAATCGTGGCCCGCTGGGGGAATCCTTCTCATTTCTCGCACCTAGTCGCCACCCATTCCATTGTCTTTTTTTTTTTCTTTCTGCCCGTGCGTTAACGCGTGTTTGCGTCCCCGTACGTGAGACCGTGAAAACAAGCCGCAGACTAAAGCTAGAAAGAGAGTTGAAGGGAGGGGAGGGGGAGGGGAGATCAAAGATCAGCCTGGTGCAGTGGTAATGCAGGTGATACTCTCGGTGGGAAGTCCTCGTTTCTCCGCGACATTCTCAACTCGGATCACTTTCTCTTCTGTCGCGTCTCCCCCCCCCCCCTCGTAGAGGCCGGCGGAGGTCATGGTCTGCGGTGTCCATTGTCTACTAGATCCGATTCACGCCGAAAGATTGCATCCGTGATTTGAATTGCATGAGGGATGAGGTGGAAGTCAGGGCCGTGCTTTCTCTCGAGATCATTTGCACATACTGGGTGATTTAAAGTGGTCATGCTGGGCGGTTTCAATCGGCCGTTCCCCCGGATGCCGGCTACTCGTATCCGTCTCGTAACTTTTCCCTCTTATCGCGGAATGGGGATGAGGGTTGCTCATACATGGTGCGCACTAGGTGTGGTCGCGTTTTACGCCCTGTTAGGACGCTGATGAAGGATGGGTTCTTTGTAGGAGAGTGTAGTCCTTGAATATGGAGGAGGTATTTACCCGTCGTTTCGTCGGAAACAATGAACTCGTCAGGTGTGATCGACTCTCGACGTTTCCGACATCTTTTAGGGGCTGAAGTTGGACCTCGAACTGAAAGAGGAGAAGCTGGAGACGATGAAGAAGGAACTGGACGAACTCACGAGTTCCGGACGCGGGGACGAGGAGATCACCTCCCTCAGGCGGACCAAGCACGAGATGGAGCGAAAGCTCAAGGACCAGGTGAGCGAGCCGTTTCTGGAGATTCCGTCTCCGCGGGTTTCTGAGAACGGAACGGAATGGAATGGAATCGAAGGGACGTTGGAATGCGTGTGGTAGGAAGAGGAGCTGGACGAGCTGAGCGGGCAGGTGGGGCTCCTGGAGCAGGCCAAACTGCGACTCGAGATGAGCATCGAGAGCATGAGGAAGGAGCAGCGGAAGGAGTTGCAGCTCAAGGACGAGGAGATCGAGGAGTACCGGGCCGCGTCCCAGAAGAAGATCAAAGGTTCGTCGATCGGTCTTTCTTGATATGCTTTCGTTGGCGTAGCAGAAAAAATAGTCTCTGCTGGTGCTTATCGCGAACAGCGATGGAGTCTCAGCTGGAAGAGGAACACGAGGAGCGAACTCTCCTCGTTCGAGAGAAACACGACCTGGAACGGAAGCTCATGGACGCTCAAGACAACGCCCGACAGGCGGGTAATTCGGACAAGGTGACCCAGTTGAAGCGGGAGCTGAAGCGGACCCGGGCGCTGCTTAAGGACGCCCAGACGATGCTGGAACGGGCCCAGAACGACGTCGGGAACAAGGCACTCCTCCGACAGCTGAAGAACCAGCTGGAGGATGCCGAGTTCGGTCGCATGGCCGCTCTCAAGTCCAAGCAGGGACTCGAGTTGGAGCTGAGCGAGGTCCAGATCCAGATGGAGGACGTGACGAGGGTTCGAAACGACCTGGATTCCAAGCTCAGCGTCGTTCAGCGCGAAAAGAGCTCGCTGCAGACTCACTTGGAGGACGTGGAAGAAGAAATGCAAGAAGTGATGCGAAAGTACAAGGCGACGGTGTCTCAGGTGTCGATGGACCAGATGACGATCAGCGAGCAGGCGAGCCAGCTCGCGTCCGCGGAACAGGAGAAGGGACTGCTGAAGGAGCAGCTGGCCGAGCTGCTCGCGAAGGTGGAGGTCTTGCAAGGCGACACCATGGGCCAGCAGACGACGAAGAAGCTGGAGGTGCGGATCAAGGAGCTGGAGAGCCGGCTGGAGTTGGAGGGAGCGACGCGGGCCCGACTGGAGGCGCAGATCGCCCGGCTCAAGGATTCGATCGAGAGCCTGAGCGCGGAGGCGAGCGCGCTGCAGAGCAAGGAGCAGTTGTCGCAGGAGGCGACGCGGCGGGCCAACCGGCAACTCAGGGATCTCAAGGAGGACTTCACGGGCCTTCAGGTCCGGGAGACCGAGGCGAGATCGAAGATCGAGGAGCTGACGGGGGAGATCGAGCGGCTGGAGGAGGAGTGCGGGAGGACGAGGAGCGACCTGAAGCTGGCCCTGCAGAGGATCGAAGACCTCACGGCCGCAATGGAAGGCGGAGGCGAGTCCCTCGACTCGGACTCCGATGCGGAACGCGACGATCCGGATAGGTGAGCGAGCGAGAGAGAGTCTTATTTTGAAATTATCCTTCAGATAGCATTTATGCATTTTTTTTAATATTTTGGAATCAGTGACTCGAGCGATGACAACTTCGAGACGTTCCTCTCGAATCCCGGCAAATCGGACGAATTCAGGTGAGAACTCTCAACATTTGCAGGTGATTCCATGCAGAGTGTGCGATGACGATAAACGTTTCCCTCTCCGTCTCTTAGTTTGAGTCCGGGGCACATCGACCTGAGCAGGCTCACCCCGACGAAGGAGTCGGAAGCGTGAAGAGAGATTCCTCCTTTCCTCTCCCTTTTTTTTTTCTCTCCTATTAATTGCCTTCTTCCTCAGCATTTTGATCAAATGCCTGCCTGTGATGAAGCGGACGATTCCGAAGCCCGTGTCTCTCCCTCTTCCTCCATCTACGATTTTTTTTTCGCTTGTCTTGGACGCGGTAGCGATGACGTCTTCTGTTCACTAGCTTGTGCAAAGGGCGATTGCAAGTAATAAATATGACTTTATTGTGTCTTTCATATCCGGCTCCATGGTGACGTCATTCCGTTCGCGATCTCTTCATTTTACTTTTTCGGAATGTAATCAATTGGAGAGACCAGCAGATCACCGTTGCTTTGAATATCAGCATGGGAAAAAGTCCAAGATAAAACGCATTTAAGATTGTAAGGGAGAACCACCAATCCCTTCTTTTCATAATGAATGAAGGAGGGGAAGAGAGGGGCAGCACATTTTTCGTGATTCTGAAATTTTCAATGTGCAATTCGTCCTGTTCCTCTAAGAAGCTAGCCCTTAAGTTTTCCATTAGGATTTAAAAAACCAGTTTCGATGCACAGATGCGAGTAGAAAAAGCAGCTTGTAAATATGTAAACCGTATTTCAGTGGTTCTTGGAAACCCATTTTCTCCCCCTTTTGGAAAGAGAATAAAATTGGCCATCTTGGCTGAGCACAATTAAATTTTAACATTGACTGCTTTTTCCATATGGTGGACTTCTGATTTGAGTGGTAAAAAAAAAGCCTGGACCCCAATTTTTTAAGTAAGACCAGCGCCGTCTCCAAGAATCTAGGGGTCGCATGCATGGATCAATTTTCAAGTCCGTCATGAATGAATTTGGACTCGAAAAAATGCAGCGAAATTATGTCAGGAGCGTTTTCAGCTCGCATCCGTCTTGAAGATGAACTCGAATGTAATCGCAAAAAAATAAAAAAGGGGAATACGCATGGAATGCCATCATGGCGATGGAGAGCCTCTTCCTCGCCTTCGTTCTCTGGCCATCAAAATTTTAGTCTTGATGTATTGTCTGATTTGATGATTTGTCGGATGAAATAGTAATGGAGTCCGTGCAAAAACAAGCATTGGCGGGGAAAAATAGGAAAATTTCAAGACCCTGTCGCATGTGTATTGAGGCACAAAAGGTCATAGAGAGAGAGAGAGAGATAGAACTACAGAAGAAAAAAAAACGCAAAAAATGTTTAAAATTTCTTCCATACTGGCATTTTCCTGAGGCAAAACACACGGATTTCCTGTGCCTCAGGTCCGTGGAGCACAAAGGAACTCCAGTTTTTCGAAACCACTGTCTCAGTGCATGAAAGTAAATGGACAGTGAGACCTTAACTCCCGCTCTTATATATATTTTTTGCAGCTCCTAGAGAGAGCAATCGGCAAGCCAAGAGAGGTAAAGAGCGGTCAGCCTCGAGGAATCTATTGCCAACTCCAGGGCATATGGGATGGAGACGGTAACATTCGTAGACGGAATGAACTCGGTGAGGCCGGAGTTCACGCATATCGAGAATCGACCGAGACAATTCCCCATCATCGGCATGACTTGGATTTCCCATAGAGATACCGTCGTTCAACGCCTCCTGTTATTTTCGGATCGTGAGCACCTCAGAATGGTGAGCGCAAAATCAAAACAAAGTGGAAGAAACAGAACCTTCCAAGCCAAAGGGCATCGATTCTCGTGGGTTACCTTTCCGAGCTACAGGCCGGGATGGATTCGAGGAATCCCAAGGCAGGTCTTCGGCGTCGTCCAGTGGCGAGTAGGCGATGACGCCATGTGTTCATTAGCATGTGCAAAGGGGGATTGGAAGTCATAAGTATGACTTCATTGTTCCTTTCATATTTATGTCCCTCTGGTGGTGTAATTTTTTTGCAACGAATTGTAGCATTAAGGTGTGTGACATGACAAAGGAAAGTAGGCCTCGATGAGACCAGAGAAGCGTGAAGTGAGACAAAAAGTCAAAGTGAGACGGAAACTGTATGGGATGGATTATCGACGAACTGGATTTCCATGAGCAATTTCGAGGAACACGCAAGCAAGGCCAAGGAGCGGACTGCAGTCTGAAGGAGAAGTCTTTACTGTAAATTTCACCTTGATTGCTCTTACCATATGACGTATTTTTCTATTTCAGTGAATAAAAAAAAAACCCTACTTTCGACATAGGACAGGTGTTTGATGGAAAAAAAATGGTGAGGAAGAAGTCAATCATTAGTGGAGCGAAATGGATACGAATAAAGATGAATCAGTCCGACATCACGCTTCCGACTGCTTTTCAATAATCGGCGAAAATCCAAGCCAACAGATGCCGAAACAGTTGCCTGGCAACTTCGTGATTCCTGGCCCTCATCCGAGCGATTCCGTCCTAGATCCATCATGGGTAGGTGTATTCGGTGGATGCGGAATAGATGGAGGGAGGCGAGAGCCGCTCTGGCAAGCGCCTGCCACTGCCTCAGAAGCGAAGAGGAAGAGGACACCGACGACCTTCAGGGTAGATCGCAAACTGCTCCAAACACTTGAGACCACTCATTCGTCCTCCATCCCTCACTGGCCGTTCGCTCCCGAATTTTCGTAAAATACCTTCTGTCGAAATTTCATCCTTTAATGTCTCGATCTTCGTTTCATTTAGTCGAAGATCGGAGCTCAATGAACATCGATTCCATTTCTGTTTTTATTACATGAGCGTCCTATTATCGAAGACAGACCGATAATGCAAACGAAATTGGGCCAAACCCTGCAGATTGACGTCCTCTTCTTCAGCGTCAAAATGCGCAACATCTATTCAGTGTGAAATAAGTCATCATTCCTCCTCGCAAATTAATTTTTCTTTTTTTTCCAGGAGGGAGGTCGGGTAGTGGCAGGATTCCAGGGCCCCACAACGTCATCGTCCTGGATGGAAGGTGCGACCCACCTGATCAAACCAATTCGGCTCCACTGACGGGCCTCGACAAGAGGGAAGAAAGAGTTGGGTTCCTCCGGAAGTCCCATTCATCCCCAGCTGCATTCACCGGTTTGGATGTCGAGCACGAAGGGAGTGAGGCCCCTGCCCGTGTCCAGGAGTTCCGTCCCGGCTCTACCCTATGGGGAGGATGAGGGGGATGAGCCCCTTCAAGAGGCTGTATATCTTCAAGCCTCTCTCAGTAATTCCCTCTTCCGCGGTAATGATTGTTCCGGCCTGCCCAGAACATCTAGCGGTGTCGACGAAACCTTCCCCCGTAAGATTCCCCACTCGTTCCATACCGTTAGGTACTTACGTCCAAGCATGCTTATATCTGCGATCTCACCTGATGTTAATCCAACAAGACATTGGTCAATTTCTAGAAGAATCTTAACACATTTTCGAACGTACGGTCTGTGGGTAGGTGCGACAAATGAACTTTGACCGCCAAAGTATTTCAGAAAAATAATTCCCTTTGTGCACTTGCCCAGCTCGTAATAATCTCATCGCGGACGACTTCCTTGACTTAGACGAGTTCCCCAGAGACTCGATGACATTGCTCAAAGGCAAATGCGTCGACGGTGGGAAGTCTTGGAGCACCGAATCCCCGCGGGTCGTGATGGAAACCGGCTCGTCACTGGACGACGTCGAAGACCTGCCGTGGGATTCCTCGAACGAATCCATCCCAGCGGGGGCTCGGAAAGATAACCCACTCGAATCGATGCCCTTCGGCGGCGAAAGTAAGCGTTCGGTTTCGAGCACGTTCAGGGCAAAGGATGACGTTCGCGTAGTGATGATATTACATTGACGACTGCTTCTTCTCTTAAAGGTAAGCAAGAGACCGGGAACGGGATGGACTCCGAACGGAAGGACGACTCGAAAGAAACCCGACAATGAAAGGAGGAAATGAGCCTCGAGTGAAAATCGGTCTGGTGGGTCGGATGGAAAAAATCCAAGGGGACACCTCTGGTTCGAGATCTTCAAGGTTTCGACCTCCCGATCCGTTGATAGAAGGTAAATTTCGGGTCCTCCATTGGCAGTCATGCTCCATCCGACCCGCCAACTCCTTCGCCTTCCACTCCTGCATCCGCCGTGTCTTCCACGTGCATGCACTCCATGTCCATACTCGTATTTTTTTGTATATTGCCCGGTTTTTTATGTATGCTGAAATGCATTTTTATACTCGGTCTACGAAAGTTACCGTCTCCATTCCGTTTGTCTTGGAGTTGGCAATCGATTCTTTGACACTTCTTGAAGATCGCTCCCTCTAGGACCTCAAAAAAATAAGTGAGGGGAAGTTTCAAGGTCTCACCGTCTCCTTACTTTCACGCTCTGAGACTGTGGTTTCGAAAAACGGAAATTCCTTAGAACATGTCGGTGCCGAGGAACTACATGTAACTGCGTCAATTCATGAAAGAGCCCGTGTGTTATGCCATAGCAAATGGGAAGTATGGAATAATGTTTTCAAATCCTTTTCCCATATTTTTTTCTTTTGTAGTTCCCAACTCTCTCACCTTTTGTGCCGCAATACACATGCTGCAGGGGCTTGAAATTCTCTTCTCTTTTTCTTCTCTTCTATTTTTCCCCGCCAACGCTCGTATTTGCACTGACTCCATTCCTTCTTCATCTTTCTTTCCTGTGAAATCAGACAACGACAAAAATCGAGATGGTGCCAGACTCAGATTTCATTCGATTTCATCTTCGAGACGTGGGCGTGCTAAAACGCACCCAGTGAACTTTCAGCAATTACGGCGTTTGTTCTATGTCGAAAGTAGGTTTTTTTTTTCACTGAAATAGAAAAATACGTCATATGGTAAGAGCAGTCAAGGTGAAATTTACAGTAAAGACTTTTCCTTCAGACTGCAGTCCGCTCCTTGGCCTCGCTTGCATGTTCCTCGAAATTGCTCATGGAAATCCAATTCGTCGATAATCCATCCCATACAGTTCCCGTCTCACTTTGACTTCGTTGGAAAACAGAGCGCAACGAATGGGTTTCGGTTTTCCTTCATTCCATCATTGCCTGATGGGAAAAGAGAAAATGCGGAAAGCTAAGCAGATTAACGTCGTCTTCATCGACGAAATGCACAACTTTCATTCCGTAGGAAAAAAAAGTTGTCAATTCTTACCAATATAATTTTCATTTTCCAGGAGGGAGTTCTGGCAGCGACACAAATACAACACCGCCGAACGTCATAGTCTTGATGATGGGGGGAAAACAAACAACTGCTCCAAGTCAATGCAGCACATGTTTTCCTGACCGGCGTGGACATGAAGATCGACGTAGGAACGACCCTCCTCCTAGACGAGTTCAAC